TATATATATATATATATATATAATCAAATACATTAACGCATGCAGACATATTTAAATAATTTAGTTTTAAAAAGTATATATATATAGCGTATATATATTTAATTTTGGTCATGTTATTTAGACGGAGTATCCTTACTGTTTCTCTTGTGTAGATGGATAAGTATATTTACTATATAAAAACATGAAGAATAAGCTTAATTAGTGAAGAACTGCATAAACAACTTCTAGCTTTCTTGGCGATTCTTCAAAAAAACAAGTTAATTAAAAAGTCTAGTGACAATTTTAGCGCAATTTCCTTATGTACGCGTCATCACGTTCAATAGATGCGTCATCACGTTACATGGTTGCGCCATCACGTTCAGTAGGCGCGCAATTGTTTTTAGTCATATAACTCTATTGTTTTTAAAAAATGTGAAAAAATTATTTGGCCTAGCGAAATAAAACCTTGTAATTGTAACTCCCTATCACTCTCATATAAATTATAAATAAATTAATAGGGTACAAAAATAACGTTTGAGTTAATAAGTAAATAAGTAATTAAAAAAATCCTTTCGAACCTCAGCGCTTTGCGCTAAAAACTTACAAGACGCTCAGTTTAAAATATATTAAAAAAATTTTTGTGACCGAAGGAAAGGATATTTTTGAAAACTTTCTTCGGCAATATTGGTTTAAATTATGGCAGGAATCGATTGGTAAATGTTTCAAACCGCTAAGTGGTCTGGTTGCCGAGATATGGAGCAAAAACTGCATTTGTCCGAGGTTTTTTGGCTTTTCCGGGAAATCCAGGAAGGAATTCCGAGAATTTTTTGGCCTATGTTCATCCTCGGAACTTGCTTAACATATTTCCTTTGGAACTAGTCCTCGATATTGCTTCGTCGAGGAGGAGATACGACTTAAAGCTGCGGACACACATCCATCCATCCAGAAATGACGGGTTAATAAACGCAATTCTCCAGAATGGAAATTGCGCTAAAAAAACACTTTTATGTAAAAATGACATTCAATAAAACTTAAAAATGAAGCAAAATTTCAGCCTTTCACACATCCCACATTGTAATTTGTATCATTTAAAACATCCACACTCTACCAATTCACAGATATCGAAACTAAAGTATGACCCACTTACCATAATTTGTAATTCTTTTTAGACAATATCGATGTATGTTTTTTGTTTGAAAATATAATAAAATGAAATAAAACATTTGTTTAATGTATTGGTTTATGTTTTCATCAGTTGCTAAACCGAAAAGTCTCGAGTTCGAACCCTCGGGCAGATGAGGCTCGTTAGCTGGGGACAGCCACTCTTCTAGGAGAGACAACTCCAAAATTAAACAACTGCTGCCTTGTAGTTTGTTCTCGGTTGGACAAAGGCTATGGAAGCAAATCCATAAAGAAAAGCAGGCTGAAATCGGAGTCAATGGCCTCAATGGCGCATAAACAGTTGACACGTAACGCTTAATTGTGTTGGAGGCGTGGTCGAGTCGGCAAAAAGCTCATGGTTGATAAATTCGAACAAAGTCTCGAGTTCAAACCCGCTGGCAGATAAATCTCGATCCCCTTCAACACTAATAATTAAGAACGAAGAAGAAGAAGAAGAAGAGTTTTCATCAGAAATTTACTATCAAACTTCATCTACACATTAACACGCACTGCTTACATAATTCATTTTTTGCTAAATGGATGGTGACGTCGTTCCATTAGAAGACCTTCAACTATGGAGACAGCGAGATTGACAAAATGGAAAATGTATGCTATTTTGTTTTTTGTTGTGATTGTTTTATCTGCGATGCACACACCACAAGTTACCCCGCGTGTAGTGTTACATGGCGGTGGTGACAGTATCACATGATTGGGTGTTTCACCGATGTAGTTTACTACACTTTATAATATACTAGCGTACCCGACCCCCGCGCGTTGCTGCCATGGATAGAAGAAGTCTGACGAAATATATGAGAAGGATATCACCAATGAATTACCAATCATATGTTCTTAAACGCGTGTCCTTCTTTACTAAACTGTGTTAATAAAATGTAAACAATGCTTGCGCTTGGATAATAATTATCGGGACACGGGTTTTCCTACACTACCGCATGAAAACCTTGAGTGTACATTAATCACTCACCAAAATAATGAGGCAGAACACACTTCGGTGACCACCCATGTGTCAGGGACGTAGAGGGGCGCTCTCAGGAGCCCCCCACCCCCCGATTACACTACCGCATAGGCGCAGCGTACGACCCCTGGCTCCTTAAAACTAACAGGCGTTATCGTGCTCATAGGATAACCCAGCGTGATAATAACATCCTGTTAATAATTATGCAGATTTCGTCATTCGCTTAAGTGACACAAATGAACAGAAATTTTTTCTTTATCACGTAAAAAAATTATTTGACGTGTTTTAAACATCAATGTGACTGATGCAATATGCTAGCGTTACTAATGATCTATTATTAGATACTCGATCTCAATTTCTGACTGGATCGTCTAATAATAGATGCTTATTGCATCATTCGCAAGGAGACAAAACTCTACAGTAGGCTCCTCATATTCAAAAAGTTATTTTTTCATCTTTCGCAAGGTGACGAAACTGTACAGGATTTCCTTGCGATACAAACTTATTTTTTAGAAGCCTGTTGTTGTTTTACCGCTGACGATAGTAGTACCCCTTACTCGCTATGCAGGACGCTCGATTAACGGATGCCAAGTGCCAACATAGTCGCTCTAAAACTCTGGGTGCCAAACCGTGCATTGACGAAAATTGTACCCTACATGGCACCGCCCATAAGAAACTTTAGTTTTCTTTTACTCAGAAATATTCTCGGGACTATTCTCATCTACTCCCTAAAGTTTTATGGCACTCCGATGATCCGCATTCAAGTTTTATTTTTTATATACCGTGTATAGAGAAAAATAAATCGCTCCCCGCGGGGGCACAGCCCTTGCAATATTAAAAAATATTTTTTTTTGCAGAAACATACCATTGAGTGATCTAGTCATCTCCCCAAAGTTTCATGGTGCACGAATGAACGGTGTGAAACCGAAATAGACTTTTATTTTTATAAACCGTATATAGAGAAAAAACAAATCGCGCCCTGGCGGGGCGCCACCCCTGCGAATTTGAAAATGTTTTTAGCGCAGAATCCTCCGCAAGATTATTCTCAACAACTTCCCAAAGTTTCATGCCGATCATGTGAACGGTGTCACGGCAATTCACTTTTATTATTTTTATATACGGTATATAGAGAAAAATCGCACCCTCCCGTGGGGCCGCCCTTGTGAAATAAAAAATGATTTTTTTACAGAACCCTTCCTTAAAGTGTTCTTATGAACTCACCAAAGTTTTATAGCGATCAGATGAATGGTGTCAAAATAAAAAAATCTACTTTTATTTTTATATACCGTATATAGAGAAAAACAAATCGCGCCCTGCCGGGCGCCACCCCTGCGAATTTGAAATTTTTTTTTCGCTGAAACCTCCCCAGGAATATTCACAACAACTTCCCAAACTTTCACGGCCTTGTGATGAGAGGTGTAGTAATGCATAAAGGGCAAACAAACAGACAGACAGACAAGCACACATACATTGCTTTATATATATATATATATATATATATATATATATATATATATATATATATATATATATATATATATATATATAGATAGATATATATAGATAGATATAGATATAGATATGGACGGTTGAGGAGGGTAGTACCCGGTTCAGAGGCGTAGCAACCCAATTCGTCAAATATAACCCCCCAGTTATATATATATATATATATATATATATATATATATATATATATAAATATATATATGTATATATGTATATATATATGTATATATATATATATATATATATATATATATATATATATATATATATATATATATATATATATATATGTATATATGTATATATATTTTGTACACGTTTTGTTTGTGATTTGCTAGTTATTTTTTATCTGTCTGTTATTTTTGTGTATTGTGTTTTGTGTGTGTGTGAATATTAGTTGAATTGATTGTTTGTTTCATTTTATTTTGTTTCTGTGGTTATTTATTTATCTGAGTCAATTGTTCTTAGTTTGTTTTTTTCTAAATCTTTTAACTCAATTCTAGGGCCCACAGGATTATAAAAAAAACCACCCACACAGATATATTACCATACTTAGTATGCGAATATATTTACACTTTGCGTATTTTTCTTTTTGCGCAATTTCCTGTGCACGCGTTCTTGTGTTGACGCATGTTATCTCAGCTGTTCCTTTCCATTTGTTTTTTTTGTCTTAATTTAAATATTGTCATTTTCATATCGTTAATGTTTCGTTGTTTCTCCGATACCTTACGAACTCAAATGACATGGATCACCGGCTCAGGAGTTATGCTCCCATTAGCCAGGCCGGCCTCCACACAGCGTTCTCCGACTAACTGGCTTTTAGCGAGCTGTGGGCAGCTCGAAGATGTCGGCTGAACGCTGCATTCGGTCGCTTCCCTTCCGTGGGTTCTCACCGGGCTTGCCTTCCCCATCACCCGATGCAGGACGTCGTCCCACCATCGTGGTACCCAGCTCGATCGTGGATGGCATTCGACCGTACGAACTTTCTGTCCCTATAACCCCTGCATAACGTTTTTGTCTGGGTTTTTTTTTAATACAGCATTGTTTTCAATTAAAGATAATGAACCAAAAAATATTATTGTATGTGTAAACATAAAAAAGTAATTCATTGAGAGGTTTGTTAATCTAATTTTAAATAATTGTCGTTTCATAATTGTGCTTGAAAATGTAATTAATGTTAAATCTAAAAACAGCAAAAAGATACCAATAAAATCATTTTTTAATTTTACTTAAGCTTCTACTTAACATTTTTCTTTATTTAGATGCTATAAAATATCTTAGAAGGATTTTCTATATGTATTTCTAATTTTCGTTAACAAAAAATGTTTTACAATATATGTTTAATAAAGTTGAATAATTAACAGTAAATAACAATTTTTTTTGATAACTTTGATACCTTTTATTTTTTAGATGTACGGCAATTTTGAAACAAAAATTACATTTTTCTTCTTAAAAGCTTAACTAGCTTACCTTTCTTTACTAATAATTTTTGTATTACATTTCCAATGGCAACATGGTCTAAATGTTTTAATAGTAAAATATGATGATTTCCATTTTGTATAACTATAATTAGTAAAGAGTAAAACTGAAATGATATTTTGTTAGATAGAAACACAGAGCTATCTTCTCATCGACACGATTTGACCTACTCGTGTAGGCATTTCACCGAACAATGTGCCACGTTGCCATGCTGTTCCTTAGGATTATCTGAAACAAAAAGAAGAAAAAAAATGAAAGAAACATGCAAAAATCCTCCTCACACTAAACGTTACTCCTATATGGGATACTAGTAAATTTGGTTGTTTGTGTATAAACGTACTATTTATTATGGCGTCTCCATCCCTATATAGCGTGATATATTCTGGGAAATTTCTCTAAGCTGATTCCACTAAGCTCTAAAATTCTGTAAATTCACTTTCAGATAACGTTTTCTTTTTTTTTCATCAAACATGTCTGCGTTGCATGTTAAATTATAATTCATGTCTGGTGCACATGTCTGGTTAAGCCAAGTTAAGTCAGATCCATCCGAGTGTTGGTGAAGACTCCATAGTCTAATCGACCATTGGGAATCCAAGCACAGGGTCTAGGCAGTAAGAGGAGGGGGGCCAGATGTTTGCAATGTTTCAGGACATAATTTATCCAAATAGCTGATTAACACTCGGGTTGGGGCTTTTCGGATCTTCTTCTTTTCCAGTTCGTGCCCAAGACACAAGGGGTAGTTGATATAGAATTAATACGTTTTAGATAATTGGACAAATGGTATCAACATATTGTGTGGTCAAACTATGCTCAGCCGCCTTTACTTCCTCTAACGTGAGTACCCGTCGGAGTTGGGTGGACTCAGGGACATTTTACTGAATTTAACCCTGATTGAAACTCGCAAGTTTCGGGTTAGCAGCATTGGAAATCCAAACACAGGGTCTGGGCAGTGAGATAAGAGGAGCCAGATGTTTTCCTGGTATCAGGACACAGTTGGGTGGACATTTTATTGAATTCAACCTGAATTCGAACTCGCAACTTTCGGGTTAGCAGCTTAGCTCTCTACCGCTAGTTCATGACGTCCCATTTCGAATAGATACAAAATTACATTAAGTAAACTTAAAAAAAAGTAAAAATGGAAATGTCTATAGATACTACCTGGGCATTTTTTGGTATCCACCACTTCAGCTGAGAGTAAGAAACTCTTGAAATACCCAGTTTCAAGCTGTTCCCAACGACAGTTGTCGACATCAAAGATGTGTTCTTGTATGCAGTTTATGTACTCAGTGGCTTCACTAATAAGAGAAGAACAATATTTTAGTTTGTCGCCCATCATACCACCCTCAAAACCATTTCTTCTTACATACACTCAAACTACAATTTAAGTTAATCATGTCTCATTATAAAATATACATTATTCAAAATAATAGTAGAATAATTTAAAAAAAAACAACACATTTTGAAAAATTTTGACGAAAAAAATCAAATTTAGAAAGACTTGAGAGTTAAGTTTGACTCACTGGCAGAAAGATTTGGAGTTAATGTGAGGATAGACACAGGATTCCACATTGCATGGTCCACCATTTGTAGCTGTTGCTGTCTCTGTTTCTGTCATATATTTAAAGGTCATTACTGCATTACTGCTACAACTGCCATTTTGTTATATTGTTAACTAAAATATATCTGTTCATGTAAGCTCTTACGATTGCAGTGCATTTTCTTCATGAGGACTTTCACAGCAGCTCTTAGGCCTTTTGCCAAAAGTGTTATTTTCAGGCCGCAGTGTTGATTGATCACATTGTCATTCAGACATTTGATGTAATTCTCAGCCAGACTGTAAACAAAAATGCAAAGCACTGGAAAGCACTGGAAAGCAATGGAAAGCAATGCAAAGCAATGCAAAGCAATGCAAAGCAATGCAAAGCAATGCAAAGCAATGCAAAGCAATGCAAAGCAATGCAAAGCAATGCAAAGCAATGCAAAGCAATGCAAAGCAATGCAAAGCAATGCAAAGCAATGCAAAGCAATGCAAAGCAATGCAAAGCAATGCAAAGCAATGCAAAGCAATGCAAAGCAATGCAAAGCAATGCAAAGCAATGCAAAGCAATGCAAAGCAATGCAAAGCAATGCAAAGCAATGCAAAGCAATGCAAAGCAATGCAAAGCAATGCAAAGCAATGCAAAGCAATGCAAAGCAATGCAAAGCAATGCAAAGCAATGCAAAGCAATGCAAAGCAATGCAAAGCAATGCAAAGCAATGCAAAGCAATGCAAAGCAATGCAAAGCAATGCAAAGCAATGCAAAGCAATGCAAAGCAATGCAAAGCAATGCAAAGCAATGCAAAGCAATGCAAAGCAATGCAAAGCAATGCAAAGCAATGCAAAGCAATGCAAAGCAATGCAAAGCAATGCAAAGCAATGCAAAGCAATGCAAAGCAATGCAAAGCAATGCAAAGCAATGCAAAGCAATGCAAAGCAATGCAAAGCAATGCAAAGCAATGCAAAGCAATGCAAAGCAATGCAAAGCAATGCAAAGCAATGCAAAGCAATGCAAAGCAATGCAAAGCAATGCAAAGCAATGCAAAGCAATGCAAAGCAATGCAAAGCAATGCAAAGCAATGCAAAGCAATGCAAAGCAATGCAAAGCAATGCAAAGCAATGCAAAGCAATGCAAAGCAATGCAAAGCAATGCAAAGCAATGCAAAGCAATGCAAAGCAATGCAAAGCAATGCAAAGCAATGCAAAGCAATGCAAAGCAATGCAAAGCAATGCAAAGCAATGCAAAGCAATGCAAAGCAATGCAAAGCAATGCAAAGCAATGCAAAGCAATGCAAAGCAATGCAAAGCAATGCAAAGCAATGCAAAGCAATGCAAAGCAATGCAAAGCAATGCAAAGCAATGCAAAGCAATGCAAAGCAATGCAAAGCAATGCAAAGCAATGCAAAGCAATGCAAAGCAATGCAAAGCAATGCAAAGCAATGCAAAGCAATGCAAAGCAATGCAAAGCAATGCAAAGCAATGCAAAGCAATGCAAAGCAATGCAAAGCAATGCAAAGCAATGCAAAGCAATGCAAAGCAATGCAAAGCAATGCAAAGCAATGCAAAGCAATGCAAAGCAATGCAAAGCAATGCAAAGCAATGCAAAGCAATGCAAAGCAATGCAAAGCAATGCAAAGCAATGCAAAGCAATGCAAAGCAATGCAAAGCAATGCAAAGCAATGCAAAGCAATGCAAAGCAATGCAAAGCAATGCAAAGCAATGCAAAGCAATGCAAAGCAATGCAAAGCAATGCAAAGCAATGCAAAGCAATGCAAAGCAATGCAAAGCAATGCAAAGCAATGCAAAGCAATGCAAAGCAATGCAAAGCAATGCAAAGCAATGCAAAGCAATGCAAAGCAATGCAAAGCAATGCAAAGCAATGCAAAGCAATGCAAAGCAATGCAAAGCAATGCAAAGCAATGCAAAGCAATGCAAAGCAATGCAAAGCAATGCAAAGCAATGCAAAGCAATGCAAAGCAATGCAAAGCAATGCAAAGCAATGCAAAGCAATGCAAAGCAATGCAAAGCAATGCAAAGCAATGCAAAGCAATGCAAAGCAATGCAAAGCAATGCAAAGCAATGCAAAGCAATGCAAAGCAATGCAAAGCAATGCAAAGCAATGCAAAGCAATGCAAAGCAATGCAAAGCAATGCAAAGCAATGCAAAGCAATGCAAAGCAATGCAAAGCAATGCAAAGCAATGCAAAGCAATGCAAAGCAATGCAAAGCAATGCAAAGCAATGCAAAGCAATGCAAAGCAATGCAAAGCAATGCAAAGCAATGCAAAGCAATGCAAAGCAATGCAAAGCAATGCAAAGCAATGCAAAGCAATGCAAAGCAATGCAAAGCAATGCAAAGCAATGCAAAGCAATGCAAAGCAATGCAAAGCAATGCAAAGCAATGCAAAGCAATGCAAAGCAATGCAAAGCAATGCAAAGCAATGCAAAGCAATGCAAAGCAATGCAAAGCAATGCAAAGCAATGCAAAGCAATGCAAAGCAATGCAAAGCAATGCAAAGCAATGCAAAGCAATGCAAAGCAATGCAAAGCAATGCAAAGCAATGCAAAGCAATGCAAAGCAATGCAAAGCAATGCAAAGCAATGCAAAGCAATGCAAAGCAATGCAAAGCAATGCAAAGCAATGCAAAGCAATGCAAAGCAATGCAAAGCAATGCAAAGCAATGCAAAGCAATGCAAAGCAATGCAAAGCAATGCAAAGCAATGCAAAGCAATGCAAAGCAATGCAAAGCAATGCAAAGCAATGCAAAGCAATGCAAAGCAATGCAAAGCAATGCAAAGCAATGCAAAGCAATGCAAAGCAATGCAAAGCAATGCAAAGCAATGCAAAGCAATGCAAAGCAATGCAAAGCAATGCAAAGCAATGCAAAGCAATGCAAAGCAATGCAAAGCAATGCAAAGCAATGCAAAGCAATGCAAAGCAATGCAAAGCAATGCAAAGCAATGCAAAGCAATGCAAAGCAATGCAAAGCAATGCAAAGCAATGCAAAGCAATGCAAAGCAATGCAAAGCAATGCAAAGCAATGCAAAGCAATGCAAAGCAATGCAAAGCAATGCAAAGCAATGCAAAGCAATGCAAAGCAATGCAAAGCAATGCAAAGCAATGCAAAGCAATGCAAAGCAATGCAAAGCAATGCAAAGCAATGCAAAGCAATGCAAAGCAATGCAAAGCAATGCAAAGCAATGCAAAGCAATGCAAAGCAATGCAAAGCAATGCAAAGCAATGCAAAGCAATGCAAAGCAATGCAAAGCAATGCAAAGCAATGCAAAGCAATGCAAAGCAATGCAAAGCAATGCAAAGCAATGCAAAGCAATGCAAAGCAATGCAAAGCAATGCAAAGCAATGCAAAGCAATGCAAAGCAATGCAAAGCAATGCAAAGCAATGCAAAGCAATGCAAAGCAATGCAAAGCAATGCAAAGCAATGCAAAGCAATGCAAAGCAATGCAAAGCAATGCAAAGCAATGCAAAGCAATGCAAAGCAATGCAAAGCAATGCAAAGCAATGCAAAGCAATGCAAAGCAATGCAAAGCAATGCAAAGCAATGCAAAGCAATGCAAAGCAATGCAAAGCAATGCAAAGCAATGCAAAGCAATGCAAAGCAATGCAAAGCAATGCAAAGCAATGCAAAGCAATGCAAAGCAATGCAAAGCAATGCAAAGCAATGCAAAGCAATGCAAAGCAATGCAAAGCAATGCAAAGCAATGCAAAGCAATGCAAAGCAATGCAAAGCAATGCAAAGCAATGCAAAGCAATGCAAAGCAATGCAAAGCAATGCAAAGCAATGCAAAGCAATGCAAAGCAATGCAAAGCAATGCAAAGCAATGCAAAGCAATGCAAAGCAATGCAAAGCAATGCAAAGCAATGCAAAGCAATGCAAAGCAATGCAAAGCAATGCAAAGCAATGCAAAGCAATGCAAAGCAATGCAAAGCAATGCAAAGCAATGCAAAGCAATGCAAAGCAATGCAAAGCAATGCAAAGCAATGCAAAGCAATGCAAAGCAATGCAATGCAAAGCAATGCAAAGCAATGCAAAGCAATGCAAAGCAATGCAAAGCAATGCAAAGCAATGCAAAGCAATGCAAAGCAATGCAAAGCAATGCAAAGCCTTGAAATGGAAAACGAATGTTAATGCCAATTAAAATTTTAATTACAATTTCCAAATCCAGTGTCTAAATTATTTTTTAAAGTTATACACACTTGCAGAAAGTAGTTGAATTCGTTATAATAGAAGGCCGATGACAAGTACTAATGCTGCAAGCACCTAGTGTATGTATAATTATATATATATATATATATATATATATATATATATATATATATATATATATATATATATATATATATATATATATATATATATATATATATATATATATATATATATATATATATATATATATATATATATATATATATATATATATATATATATATATATATATGAAACAGACTGTTGAAATTCTTTCATAATAACCATTTATATTTTGCATATAGATTAGTGTATAAAATAATATTAACTTATTAACTATCGTTAAACAACGCTTATTTAATTATTTTATGTATTTAAGTGTTTGACTTGAAATTATCAAAATACCATTTGTAGCTAACTCTTCAGCTTAAGACCATGCTGTGAGAGCGACGAAAGCTAGAGGTGAATAAATAATACATATAAATAAATAAATAAATAAATAAAAAAAAAAAAAAAATATATATATATATATATATATATATATATATATATATATATATATATATATATATATATATATATATATATAAATGAACTACTAAAAGTTAATGGAATCCATGATGGAGTCCACCTATCCCATCAAATGTAGTTTAAAAAAATGAATAGTTAAGGCATATCGCTGCCCATGTTCCGTATTTTACATCCTCCAGTTCAGATTAGAGAATAAACTCGCTTCCTCAGAAACAAGAGTGACACCTGTACCTTAAATTTAAGATTCTGTCTACCTTACATTCTGATTCGATGTGTACATTACACTTGTAACCTATCAACAAGCTGCTGTGGTAATATTTAGCTGATATTTTATGACATATTATTCACTTAAGAGTAAAATCATGTTAAGGCAACATATTTTCTTTTAACTTACCTACAATAGCTTGGTAAATGCAAGCAGATGTCATTATAGAAATGTTTAAAAGTATGCAACAGATCTTGTTTTCTATTACAAAATATGAAAAAGCATCATAAAACGTTACATTATCTCTTTCGGCATCGAATCTCGACTAAAATTATTATATTTAAACAGTAGCTTAGTTCAAGCCATATTCATAAAATATAAAACGCATTAACAGACAAAAACCTGTTAAAACAATAACGGCCCTAGAGAACATACTGTGATAAGCTAAGCTGTTTACCTGATACAAGTATACATTGAATTTGTCAGTCACAGAACTTATAAACGTTTATTTCAAAGGACGTATTGTAGAGGAATAGTAAAAAAAAATCAGAGATATTTTGTCTGAGATATTTTGTCTGAGATATTTTGTCTGAGATATTTTGTCCGAGATATTTTGTCTGAGATATTTTGTTTGAGAATTTATGTTTGGGATATTGAGTCTGTAATATTTTGACCTAGAAATTTTGTCTTAGTTTTTTTTTTGTAAAATACTCAATGATATTTTTTGCCATGGGATATTTTTGTTGTTTGTAAGTAAGCATGAATATTAGTACGTACTTGTCTGTGTGTGTGTGTGTGATAGAGAGAGAGAGAGAGAGAGAGAGAGAGATTCAAAAAGAGAGAGATAGTTAAAATATAACATAAATCATAATGGAAAAAATTTAGAGTTAACCTCGATAATAATAGGCGTTTATAATCCATACAAACGAATAATCCAATGAAAGGTTCACTCGAAATACATTCAGATGAGGAGCACCAAAACCAAGATAGCAATCTGACTACAACAAAGTTAAAGTTAGAGCGACATACCTTCAGATGAGGAGTACCAAAACCAAGATAGCCAGCTGACCCCACAAGTGTGGCTTTTATGTTGTCAAACTGTGATTGAGACATCACGTGATTGCACGTGGTTATCACGTGATTCCACGTGTTGTCAAGGGTCCTCAAACAGTTCGACCAGTCTACATGTAGTTTCAGTTTAAAATTTGCCAACACAGAAGCATGTACACGAAGAATGGGGAACACTGCAGAAATTAACGTTTAATTTTTCTGAACAATTTTACAGTGAATATTAGAACAATATTTGTTTAAATACAGGACTAGCGTTTTTAATTATTTATTAGTCAAAATGGCAAAGTTTGTGTACATTTTTGTATATTAATATGATCATATATTGCTAAACATTCACTTAATCTTATATTTCGAAACAGAATAGCCAGTAGCAAGCAAATAATGTGTACTGGTCGGTTGTGATGTTAACACCTAAAAAATGCAGCTATCCATTAGAAACAACCGAAATTTGTTTTCCTACAAGTAGCTTGTTGGAAAAAAAATGGATAGAGGCAAAACTTTGCGATCCCCTGACACTTTGTCTCACCAGTAATCCCTCACAGTCAGATTATCGCTGAAAAGTTTTTCAGATATCCACATTATTAAAGCTATAGTTTGGTGGCTCTTTACCTTGTTACGATCGAACCACAAGAATAAATAAACTGGGAGTGATCTCCCCTAAACAAGAGGGGATGGCAACTCGGGATATAGACACGATTTTTAATACATTTTAAATACTAGACAACCAGTTAGCTACTGTCAGCTAGAGCGACAGTAGTTGTCAGCAAGAGACCCTGACAACAGCTTTCAGCTAGAGACTTAGATAGTAGCTGTCAGCTTGAGACCCATACAGTAGCTGTCAGCTAGAGACCCAGACAGTAGTTGTCAGCAATAGAACCCGGCAGTAGCGGTCAACTAGAGACCAAGACAGTAGCTGTCGGCTAGACACCCTGACAGTAGCTGTCAGCTAGAGCAAGACATTAGCTGTCAGCTAGAGACCTAGACAGTAGCTTTCAGCTATAGACCCAGACAGTAGCTGTCAGCAATAGACCCAGACAGTAGCGGTCAACTAGAGAACAAAACAGTAGCTGTCAGCTAGACAAAAAAAAACGGTTGCTGAAGCTGGACTCCCAGCAAGTAGCTGTATGCTTGAGATCCTGACAATAGCTGTAAGCTAGAGACAGTACGTTACGGATTGAGACCAATGCAGTTGCTATCATCAATAAGCCGGAGCTATAAGAATAAGCCTTAAATTACAAAAACAGTTATTGAAGGTTTTCTTTGTAATCACTAAATTAAAACATGGTTTGACATGTCTGATCCAAAATAAACATTCGATTCATCTTTTAATGTGACCCATATGTCGACAAGGTTCAAAAGTTTATAAGGTTGCCACGTAGGCCTATATAGTTGATATATGATGTAATGTAATGTCATTTACCTCCCACGTATGCAGTCTCCAGCTATACTGTCCATCTCCCAGCTATACAGTATCAATATCCTAGTTATAGTTTTCATCTCCCAGCTGTATTCCCCTCCCAGCTATACAGTCTCCACGTCCGAGCTATACAGCACCCATCAATTTGATATAAAGTCCCCAGATCATAGCTACACAGTTTCACTTCTAGCTAAATCTTCATAAATCTTCCAGCTATAATCTTTATTTCCAAGTTATAAAGGTTTTATTTATATTAATCTTGATAGTCAAGAGAGTTTGGTGCTTGGTGCTAAAAGAAATAACCGTACCATCTTCCACGGCAAATTACTATCTTCGTAAAGCTAATCTAATCTGCCCTCTTACAAAAGTAATCAAGCCTCATTTAGATTAATTTTAGTGCTTACTGCACCAATGATGAGATAAGAGAAAGGCAGTGCTAGCTATAGTACTACCAGTGATGAGATTAGACCACCCAGTGCTAGCTATAGGGCCGACCAATGAAGAGATTACACACCGCCAGTGCTAGATATAGGCCTACCAATGAAAACATAAGACAACGCCAATGCTAGATATGTGTCTACCAATGACATAAGACAGTAGCTGTCAGCTAGAGAAACAGACAATAGTTGTCAGCTAAAGACCCAGACTGAAGCTACCAGCTAGACAACAAGACAGTTGCTGTCAGCTAGACATCCAGACAGTAACCGCTAGCTATTGACCGAGGCAGTATAATTCATCTATATACCTAGACAGTAGCTGTCATCTAAAGACCCAGACAGTAGCTGTCAGCTAGACACCAAGAAAGTTTCTGCAACTAGACATCCAGACAGCTACTGTCAGCTAGATATACAGTATCTGTCAGCTACAGACCAAAACAGTACCCTACGGATAGAGACAAATGCAGTAAATTTCGCAATAAGCCTTTGCTATAAGAATTTGCTTAAATTACAAAAACGTTTATTGAACTTGGTTTCTACTTTTTAATCCATTAATTAAAATATTGTTTGACGTGTCTAATCCGAAAATAAATTGTCTTGACCTTTGCAATGTGACCTACATGTCGACAAGGTTCAAACGTTCATAAGGTCGACATGTATATAGTTCATATATGATGTAATGTAATGTCATGAACTCCCATGCATGCAGTCTCCAGCTATACTGTCCATCTCCCAGCTATACAGTCTCAATATCCCAGATAAAGTCTCCATCTCCCAGCTATATTCCCCTCCGAGCTATACAGTCTCCACGTCCAAGCTGTACAGCACCCATTACTTTGATATATAGTCCCCAGATCATAGCTACACAGTTTCTCTTCCAGCTATAATCTTTAGTTCCAAGTTATACAGGATTTATTTATATTAATCTAGATAATCAAGAGAGTTTGGTGCTAAAAGAAATAACCGTTACCATCTTCAACAGCAAATTACTATCTTCGAAAAGCTAATCTGCCCTCTTACAAAAGTAATTCAGCCTCACTTAGATTAAGTTTACTGCTTACTGCACCAATGATGAGATAAGACAAAGCCAGTTCTAGCTATAGCCCTTCCAGTGATGAGATTAGACAACCTTAGTGCTAGATATAGACCTACCAATAATGATATTGGACAACGCCAATGCTAGCTATAGGGCCGACCAATGATGACATTACACATCGATTGTGCTAGTTATAGGCCTACAAATGACATAAGAGAGTAGCTGTAAGCTAAAACCCAGACAGTAGCTGTCAGCTAGACACCAAGACAGTAGCTGCCAGCTAGACACAAAGCCAGAAGCTGTCAGCTAGAGACACTGACAGTAGTTGTCAGCTAGACACCAAGAAAGTTTCTGTAGCTAGACATCCAGACTGCTACTGCCAGCTAGAGATACAGTAAATGTCAGCTACAGACCAAACCAGTACCTGACCGATAAGACAAATGCAGTAAAATTCAGCAATAAGCCTTTGCTATAAGAATAAGCTTTAAATTACAAAAAGGGTTATTAAACTATGTTTTTTTTTTTAATCACTAAATTAAAACATCGTTTGACGTGTCTAATCCGAAAATAAAATATCTCTACACCTTTGCAAAGTGACCTGCATGTCGACAAGGCTCAAAAGTTCGTAAGGTCGCCACGTATACAGTTGCTATATTATGTTATGTAATGTCTTAACAACCACGTATGCAGTCTACAGCTATACAGTCTCAATATCTTAGTTAAAGTCTCCATCTCCCAGATATTCCCCTCCCAGCTATACAGTCTCCACGTCCGAGCTATACAGTACCCATCACTTTGATATAAAGTCCCAAGATTATAGCTACACAGTTTCTCTTCCAGCTAAATCTTCATTTCCAAGTTATACAGGATTTATTTATATTAATCTTAATAATCATGTGAATTTGGTGCTAAAAGAAATAACCGCTACCATCTTCCACAGCAAATTATTATCTTTTTAAAACAAATCTGCCCTCTTACAAAAGTAATCCAGCCTCACTTAGATTAAGTTTAGTGCTAACTGCACAATAATGAGATAAGACAAAGCCAGTGCTAGCTGTAACCCTAACAATGATGAGATTAGACAGCCTTAGTGCTAGCTATTGGCCTACCAATAATGATATAAAACAACGCCAGTGCTAGCTATAGGCCTACCAATAATGATACAAAACAACGGAAGTGCTAGCATTTGGCCTACCAATAGTGATATAAAACAACGCCAGTGCTAGATATAGGCCTACCAATGACATAAGACAACTGCAGTGCTAGCCTTACGAGTGATAAGATTTGAACCATACAGCTAGATTGATAAAAAACCAAAAAGAGAATTAGATCAATATATTTAGAGTTACAGCGAGTTAGGTTAAAACAGTTGTATGCTAGCTATACAAATATGGGATGGACAAAAAAAATTGAACCCATTGTTTGTAATCCGTTCAACATAATTTAAAATTAGCTATATCACAGAGTAATGTAATATTGTATCACTAAACCAAATGTTAAGATAAAGATATAATTAAAGTTGGCTAAGCTGTGAGCAATAACTTAGCCATTTTTGCTAAACCTGGCTGTTGTAGATTAAGAGTGAGTCCTCCGAGTCCAAATCTTCCATTGTTTTAGGTTCACACAACATACATTTTACCCTGCCTGTTACCGGATTGGTTAAAATGGTTGAGCATCTCTGACCACGTGGCATCACGTGGTGTCTCAATCACAGTTAAGTAGAGCCCCTCTTGATGTCAGCTCACTGTCGTCACTCATCCTCTCTAAGAAGGTAGGTCTTTTTAACATTGACAATTGGGACTGTCGGACTTTTACACGTTAAAATGAAGCAGAAATAGATTTATGTTGAGACTATTTGACTTGTTACCACACTACACACACTACACAAACACACACACACACACACACACACACACACATATATATATATATGTATATATATATATATATATATATATATA